CCAGGACACATTTTCAAACAACTGATGCATGGTTTAATTTCTCACTGGGGGCACTTTTGTCTTTTCCATACAGTTGATAAAGAACTTTTTCTTTGAGGTTATGCCTGATAAGATCTTTACATCATTGTTCATTTAGCACTGTTTCTGTCATTATTTGATTAGTTATATTAGATTCTATGTTACTTCATTATAATACAGGTGTGACTTCTAGAGTATTCTTTGGCAACAGTATATATCATTTGTTTGAAGAAGTGTCCTGGTTGGGTTGTATCTGCGATATACCAGTGGCCAATTGTGGTAAATATGTATGGCAATCGCCTTGACAGCAAGAGATCATACTTTAATTCCCGCTACCAGGGGCACCTTTTCAAACAGTTGATAAGGAACTTTTTTTTATTTGTTAGGCTATTCCCGATACGATACTCACATCACTTTTCATTTATTCAAGCTCTGTTTTCACCATTATTTAATTATACAAAACAGAGTGCTATAACACAAAAAATAATTTTTTATTTCTTTTCCCTTTCCAGTTTTTTTTTCTTTTCCTTTCCGATTTCTTTTCCCTTTCCAGTTTTTTTTCTTTTCCTTTCAGTTCTTTCTTTAATTTTCTTTACCGCTTCTTTTCCTTTCAATATTCACATATGTTTATATATCATTTGAAAATGATATACAGCCATCTCATAGACATGAGGTCTATTCCATATTAGTGTCTTCACACCATAACTTGAATGTTATATTTCATTTATGCTTACATAATTTCATTTATGCTAAAACTAGCTTTAATATAAACAATGTTTAAAATCTGCATCTATCTCTTTCCCTCTGCACTTGCTCTCATACCATACAAAGCAGTTATTTATTTATTTTTTTTATTGCTCCAGATTAGATAGAGTATTACAGATGTTGTGGTGGTATATTTATTTGAGTGTGCTTCAATCAATTTTAGATCTTGTACAGAACACAGCACCAACAACTTCTACTAAATTTATTATGTGAATCAGTTTAATAGAGACTGGTGCAGTTGGCTCCTTATTTGTTGGTAGTCTTCTTGTAGAGCTTAGGCTATAATTACTAGAAATTAGCACACTCCAAAAGAATCCCAGTGCATTGATCACATACCAACCTCTATTCAGTTTTAAACTAATTCGAGGACAACAAAGGGCCTTGCAAGGCAAATAGGCAAACACATGCTTATTTAATGGATTAGCTCAAGAAACCTCTGGAGGTGTTACTAAGGATTATTATAATCCCACTGAAGTGAAAGCAGAATAAAAAATGAGCGAAGGCTATAACTGGTTGATTTAGCATTGCTGTGAGATCTGGTTCAATAAATACAACTGTTCAGTGTTAGTAGAATGTGAGTGAATGAGTTGTAAGTTCACGGTCTATCAAAAACCATGAACTTCACAAATTAGTAATTATAGGTTCAAGATACAGTTCATAATTCAAACACATTAATGTCTAAGATTTAGCCTAGAAGTACAATACAACCACAAATACCCAGAAGTCACATTACACCAGGAAACCTGAAGAGTACTGTAGTGTAGAAAGCCTCTTTCTTTGCCAGTGATTAATTTTGGAGTTAAAAAATTAAAAAAAACCTCCTGTAGTCCAATTGAAAAAAGAGGGTAGGATCCACCTATAATTAACACAAGAGTGGATATAATGTCATAAACAATATTAAACTGGAAGAAATAGGAGGGCACAATTAATTTTCAGAATCTATAAATTCCAGAATATAATTTAGGAGACAAATGAATGAGAACCATGCCTCGCTGGGGATCCTAATAGAGTTCAAGCCTATTAAAGTTATCAAGTCACCTGTGTTACGATTTATGACTAGCTAGGAAATTAGTTTGATAGATAATTAAATATTACTGAAGAAGCAGTTCAGCCTTGATATGGATAGCTTTGCAGGTCTATTTCTTATTTGTTAAATAAAGGCTACTCAAATGTTTCAAATATAAACAAATTAGGTAAGGAATAAAGTTTTTTAATATATCATCATGAATAGTATATATTGTTAAGTATTTTATGTATCAAACTGTAAGATTTTTAATTGATCAATTCAGTTACGGTAATGTACTATATGTTCATGTTTTTTATTTTTAATGAATGATTAAATATAGATCAACAATTACTGAGATTTGAACAAATTGATCTAATTATTATCAAAATTAACACATTGTTAATAATAGCAAAACCAAAAGACAAGATAGTGGCCATGGATGGCAAGGGACTCCAGAAGAAAGGACTGATAGGAATCTGTCTCCTTTAAATTACTCCCTTCAACTTTTGAGGTCATATGTTTAATAAGGCACCTCTTCACAGATGTTTCAGGTTGAGATTAACTAGTTAACAGTAAAGTATCTCACTGAGTGAAGAAGAATGTCCAGTAATGTCCAAAACATCAGTCCAAAATTGAAATGACCAACATGTTATTGACCTAATGGAAATTGACCTAGAGAAGTGATGATCTAGAACTAAGTGACACATATTAGAGAGACCTCTAGCATAGATGACCTAGACTAAGGTGATAAAGTGTTTTTACAACCTTTTCATTTTAACTAATCATGAGAGAATACTGTATTATGAAGGTGCCTAATCAGTACTAGCTGCTCCCTAACAGTGAAGTAGGTAAATTACATACTTTAAAATGAGGTTTATACTGTGTTGACAGGCTCTGTTTACATGAGTTACCATAGTTGATCAACTTGTTCTTAATACTTCTACACATATTTTAACTATTATGGAATTTCTTTATTGAATGATTATTATAGCCTATGCAGCCAAACCAGTGAACTAAAATGATAAACACATGGAGAAATTCCCTCACTAACAAAACATAAAACAAAGACTGAAACTGCAACAAATTAAAGTTTGTATTTACCCCTTCATAAGTAGCTATGTCATCTGCTTCTGGGTAGATTGTCCAGTCTAGCGTTGAGTACTTGCTACTGTCATACAATGTCACTAAAAAAAAGTTATATATTTTTTAATTTAAAATTGTATTTTATTTAGCATAACATGTGTTGGTATTTGTTTATAATAGTCTTTTTCACTCAAAACAAATATATTTTTGATGTTTTTAAACAATAAATAAACACAAACCAAATAAGTTATTTGATCATTATTGTTTTGAAATAATGAAGGTACATAAAATAGATTTTAACATCAAGATTTGAAATAATAAAGGTACATAAAATAGATTTTAACATCAAGAACTTAACTGGAAAATGATTTTGCACAACTATGATGAACATTGGGAACAACTTGGATATTAAGAAAAAGAATATACAACAAAATTAATTATCTGTACACAGAACAATTTTTGTTTAATATTAAAATGACAAACTGTAATATACAACAGTATAGGACCCAAGTATGTATCATGAAAATCACGGAAATTTGTTTGATCAGACTTTGGCACTCTTATGAGCAACAACAAAAAATCTCATTCAAACTAACACTATCTTTAGAATATTATTAATGAAGATTTTCTATTGTACAGTCAAGTGGGTCAAGACACATAGCCAGCCAAGGCCTACAACATCGCCCAAATTAAAGCCACGTGGGACGCGTAGATCGTAATGCTTATCTAAATCTAATTATTTGTCTTCATTTTACAATATTATTATCATATTTAAAATGTTGTTTATTATCTAAAAACAACAAAATTCAACATATTGTAGGCCTAATCCTACCGTCCGTTTAAACGCAATCACGATTGCATCGTGACTTCACTACTGATAGTGACAAGTAGTACGTACATGCGTGGAAAATCCCTGACAGATAATTCTGGGCATGCGCATGGACATGCATGGGCAGTTTTGAAGCAGCCTGTGATGCTGTGATGATACGATTGTAGCTTTTACGAAAGTTCCCACGCCAAAGATAATGATAAAACGAACGCTAAAATGAAATTTATTCGGCGATTTTCTTATGTAAAACATAATATTATACTACACTATTAAATTAATACAAGTACGACCATTCTTTCACCAGCAATACATTGATTTAAGAGAAATTAACAAAATCACAATCTGTAGATGACGATGTATGGTCGAGCGTTCGGAAGAATCGTAGTTTATACTATATAGGCCTAGGTAGTAAAAATTTGCCAAGGCTGCCGACCTCGGAGAATTTAAGGTCGGCAAATTTTTGCTGACCTATTTTTTTCCTAATTTCATGGGCTGTTATCCTAGATATTAAGTAGATCCCTGATAAAAGATGAATGAGAAATTTGTTGGTGTTTCATTTTGACTATATAATGGTGATGTGATAATGATGAATTTTACTATATAAACATGTCATTTCTGGCCATTTAGGTAAATTTAGGCCATTTTCCTCAAATTTTCTCACCTCAACCCCAACCATGGTGGGGCTGAGGTGGTTGTGAAATCACAGTTTGAAAGAATGTAAAGTACATACTCCCACTGACAATGTTTTTAAGCTTTGTTTTCTATGGTATATCACACACACATTAATAAGATCTCTAAAGTTGCCAAAAATCCCTGATAAAGGATCATGAGAATTTTTTTGGCACTTCATTTTGACTATTGGTGATGTGATAATTTTACTAAAAGTGTCAATTCTGGCCACCTACTACTATTTCCTCAAATTTTCTCACCTCAGCTCCATGCCCCCCATTTTTTTACTATTTCGGATAAAGAATGTTTTATGCAGAGGGGATCCAAGGCCCGCTCCCCCTCCCCTCATTTTTTTAAGGAAAAAAAATAAGAAAAATGTATTCAAATTTAAGTGTGAGAGTATAATTTCCGGCTATCTAGAGATGCCCTAATCATAACTTTTCTTATCTCAGCCCCCAACCATGGTGGGGCTGAGGTGGGTGGTGCCTCGGTCTAGAAAATCCCTCCCTGGTTCACCTCTCTTTTGTATTCTTGGATCCACCACTGTTGATCTATTATATAATTATTGTTGCGCTTATTTATATAATGTAATGCATCTACTGCAATTTTTACTAGGCCTGTATCCTCTCAAAACAGTCCTAACTAAGAACGTTCAGAGTGCGCTACTTCGCAGGCGGATTCGCCCCCTGGACCACGCCGGAGTCATACGAAATTTGCATTATGGCTCCCCCCCCCTTCCTTTCAAAATCCTGGCTACGTCCCTGGCATATCTCAAATGAGATGTAAAAACTCACACAATCTCTGTAATTTGAAAGGGATGTCAAAATCATTATGTTTATATTGAATTCACTAGAAATATATCATCATTGACAAAGTCAAATGGAAATAGAAACGAATACAGTTAGTAGTTTAACCTTACCAAAAATATATTTTTAAGGATACATTGAAAACTAACTGATATTTGCTCGAAAAATTGATAGAAAATGGGTTTGCAGAATCGTAATACTTCGAAATGCACTAATGTATAATAAGACATAGGCCAAGGTCTACATTTCTGCAAAATCGGCAATAAATTTTCGAAATGCGCGCACGGTTTCAGGGTTTAGATTAATAAGCCAAGGTTTCCATTTCTTTGATTAAAGAAAAATTAGAACCATGTTTTGAACAAACTGTAATCAACTAGGTTACTGAAATCTCAAATAGGTTTAAAGACATTATAATGTCACACAAAAAAATATGTATTCATTCGGTCAGCCATGGTTAGGCCCATGTATATAACGACCATCACCCAGTCTTCCATCACGAACTCGATGAGTTGCAGGTGTAGTGTTCCTATAAGTAGGCCTAGTAGTGCTATTATGCAAGCAAACTTTTAAAATCTTACCTTCTTTTGCGTTGGTTAGCCAAAAAAGTATTATACATCCAAAATAAATAAATATCCAACTACGATTATTTCCAAAGACATACATTTTTAAGCAATAGTATATTGAAATGAGCAGTGAACATCGTGTGAACAACCCAATGTCCACGGACTTAAGGTTTTGTTTTTTACGTACTCAGAAGCAGCGCTGCTCAGAAGCAACATCCAATGATTACAACGATTTTGTTCGGGCGACTCCATTGCACGATGGGGTTTAATTTGAAACAGCCTGTAGCCCGCCCTCAATCGAGAAAAAACTTTTTTTAACTTGTTACTTGTTGCTTCAGCCATTCTCTCCAAATACCTGCGGCCAGATTTATCAAACTAGAAATCAGCTTAAATTCGTCTTAAGTCCACTTTTTTTTTTTGCTTAAGTCAAATTTATCCATATTGCTTAGCTTAAAAATTGCTTAAAATTAGAAAGTCGATTGTACGTTGGCGCCATCTAAGACGATTTTTAAGCCAAGATTTCAACTGAGATTGGGTAATAAATTAGCTTAAGATATTTATTAGGGACATCTTAACTAAGCTGAAATTGATAAATCCTGGACCAGGCCGTCATCAGCGGCAGGGCTAGGATTTCCCCGACGGCATGCAACATGCCGAGGCATGGGCAACTCCCCCGACAAGCAGGTCAAGAGTTATACTATGGCGCATAGCGCTCTCCGAAGGTCGTGGCCAGAGCCAGGGGGTGGTTTGGGAGGGTTCTCTCCCCCTCCCCAATGAGAACATGTTTTAGAATAATAAACCGCTAGACGCTCATACAGGGCATTTTGATCTAAGAAAGGTGTTTCGTAATGCCAAGTAAAAACTTCCAGGTTTTAAAATATGATCATACATAGATTTTCCAAAATGCGTGTTTCATAAAAACTGACACAGGATAAAAATGATTTTTAAAATTTCAGACCGTGATGTGCAATGCAAGGCAATTGATAAAATTGCATTGCATTTGCACGCATAGTGTAGTAGGTTATCTTGTTCATACATTCTGACACTAACCAGACGGACAAACACAACTGCCCTACTCCTCAAGCCGCCACTCTCGCTGCGTTGGAGAATTTATTCTGTGATCTGCATTAACGATAATGGTACAGACATCGTAAAAGTCATTAATAACCTGTCAAAATGTCAATTGATGGTGTTTTTTGTATCTCTCTTCGACGTCCAAGCTATTAATTTATATAGGCCTAGGCCTATCCAATTCAGGCCAACATCTGGTATAAACGGCTGTAGCTCCTTTTAGCTCCCCCCCCCCCCCTCCGTCATTAACCAACTTGGTATAGTACAGACATTTTTATTTCCAATTAAAACTTTTTAGTAAATTTAACATTATCAACTAGAATGTAGTAGTAGGCCTAAATTTTAAAAATATATATCTTTTTACCCTGAAGTTGATTATTAGGCTAAACTAATATATTAATGAAAACTGTGTTCGAAGCAACTGTTATTATACGATCGGTGGGTAGATTCTCACCAACATCAAATGTTCTCTCCAAAGGATTTTGGCGAGTAGTTATACTTGAAAACCATGATATAGGCCATATTATCCTAGGTATTCACTGCACACGACGGCGACGCGACAGCAACGCGACGACGAACGCACGCGACGGCGCGGAACCAACGGATCGCTTTTAATGAGGTCCGTTCAGACTGCCACTGACAATCAGTAGACGGCGTTACGTCGTCATTCGCTCGCCGAAAGCAGTGGTGGATTCGACAACTGCCCGGCTTTAATTTAGTAAACCTAAGAATGCGTTTACAATAAAATTATTATAGTTTGCATCAATAATTCTTAACGGAAATGTAATGTATTTATGATACCGTACTCGCGCGAATAAACTCCCCGTTTGATTAAGCGCCCCGTTTGATTAAGCGCTGAATAATGTGAAAATTGTCTTAAACGCCCCGTTTGAATTTTTAATAAGCGCCCCTCGATTCCTAAATAATTCAGTCATACAGTACATTACAGTACATCACCAACTTAATGTTCTGTATCAACTATTCGCATCTATTGTCGGTCGGTCAGTCCATCTATCCATCTGTCGGTCTAGCATGAGTCTCCATTAAGTTTAACATGGTTTTTTGATGCATCTTTAGAATGCCATCCTTTTTTTTATTGATGTCTTTTTTTGGATTTAGAACTACAGTATTTAAAATCTAAAAATTAAAATACTGTATGGCCATTTTCAGTCAACAAAAATAAACTGACCTCATATCTCTCGTATTTAAGCAAGAAACCCTGCAATGATCCTGCTAATCTGAATTGACAGATGGCACCACCACACCACCGACACCACTAATTTCATCTGCTGTTGTGTAAATACCCCCAACATTTATGAGCCATGCTCTCTCGACGATTACATTGTCTTCACCAAAACCATTCGTTTATCTTGGATTAAAAAGAAAAGTGCCTCTTGAATTTTTCAATTTTCCATAAGCGCCCTCTCAATTTCCACTATGTTTCAAGCGCCCCTCAAAAAAAGCCACACATATTTTAAGCGCCCGGGCGCTTATTCGCAAGAGTACGGTATATACGGTAATCAACATAACGTTATAAAATAGACCTTCATGTTTCAAGTGCTACCAATAAATAATCAGATATTACTCAAGTTGGCCTACACTTTTCACGGGGGAAAAAGTTAATCCAACGACAAAGGCCAAAAATTTACAAGATTGGTGTATACGAAGTGAAGTATTTAATTTTGCTGTGAACTATAAAAATTGACTTCAATGTGAGCTTTTGGACGCTATAAAAAAAGTTTATCTATAGATGGCGCGCTCACTTTTTTCACTTCACTTGACGCAGGGTTCCCGGAACGCCGCCCTCATCGGCGAGTGCGAAGCACAAATCAGGGTCAAAAGTGGAACGTGAAATTTAGACCATGGGTTGAGGATCGAAAACGTTCAATTCTGTGACCCACCAATCCGGGCTACCTGGCTTTTGCACAAAAATGTCAATACTATTAAATTGTAACATAATTTGATTGTCGGCAATTGTGAATTTGGGGAAACTGTAACCAAAAATGAGAATTTATATCAAAAGTTGCTACGTAACTATAGCCAATCAGAAGACGACTAACAATGAAGTTTGGCTTCGCTGCAAGGCCCTCAGCCAATCGCAAACTACTTCTATGCCGTTTCTCCAATGTAAATACTAAACAACACACTCCACTTGCAAGTATGGCGTTGGCCAGAGGTTCTTCAAATGATAAATCTGAGCCGGTTTCAGGCATAATTTTGTGATACATGTTGTAAGAACCTAGAGTATGGTTGTGTCATTAAGCGTAAACAACTTAAAAGAAATTTAAGAATGTGCAACTCTGTGGAAAACAACAAATACGAGTCCTCAGTAAGGCCTATTAAGTTTCCGTCGAAGCTGATGAATACTGCCTAAATATATAACGAAGGGGATCTCAGGGATGGTGGTGGTGTAGTAGTCAAAATTGCACCGAATCTGTTTAAAGGTACGTGTGTGGTTACATTTAAGGTAAAACATTGTATGGTATGTTTTACTTAATTGAGAAGTACTAAGCGTCTCTCTATCACACCACACACACAGACAGCCCTGCCTTTTCCTCAAACTGGGGTACTATCGACAGCAAAATAACCACAGAGTATTGTGAATCAAATACGATGATGTTATATTGTAATAAGCATATTGAGACAATAATGTTGGCAATGAATCGACCCAGCATAAACAACTGACCACGAAGACAAATCAAGAATAGCCATCCACAATTATATAGCAACTATTTACTACTGTCTACCAAGAACAATTACTACACAAATTGAATCAATTCAGTTTTTTGGGGTGGGGATGTGCCCTTCAGTGACTGTGCTAGACTAAGTAATTTGGGATTAATTTTATTTTAATGTCTTCATGAAAAGAATATAACAAAATCATTATATTAATAGTACAGTATGCTTTATCTACATAGGAATCCTTAGACACAACATAATAAAAAATATATTAATTAATAGGTATCAAAACTGACTTAAGCAAATAATATTTATCAACACTTTGATGTCCAATTAAACATCACCACCTGCATTTAATCTACTTTTTTTTTTTTTTTTTTTTTTTTTTTTGGAAAACAACCTTTAAATTTAAATACATATTTTTGATCATTAAAACCATCACAGTAGCATTGATAAGCTCTTTGAATTAGTTTGTTTCATTAATTTTCACAGACCATAGAATCAAGTGAATGGAAGTTGATGAACCACAGCCAAAGCAAATGCTCATTCTGCATGAGGGATAAGGATCTGGTGGCAATTCAAGCCATATTATAGGTCATGGATAGAAACATGAATCAATTGAAAGTACTGTAGTCCTATCAGATTGGAACTGTCTACTGTTTGTATGAATGCTGTTATCTATTTGATATGACATCATACCATACACTGTGTTGAGAAATATTACCAGATATTATTAAGGTTTTCCTTGTATGAACATTTATCAACAACACATTTATTTTCTTTATAAAAATTTGCATTGA